GAGCTCCCCTCTCTGTCGGACCGCGTCACTGCTGCCTCTCCCCTCTCTCTCAGGCAATGACTCATGTCCTCACCATCGGATGGGGTGGATCTAGCGAGCGTCACCTCCATCTCTCTTCTCGATCCGAAGTTGTCGGATGCTGGCTGTCAATCTGGCGCTGCAGGAGAACGGCCAGGGGCAAGGGTGTGGTGCTGTTGGGCAATGAGCAGATTGGGCTGATCAGCTCCAGGTCGTCCCCACCCACCCACCCTCTCCCCTCTCTCACACACACCTCACACGCTTTTGGCCACGAGGCCATCGATAGCTTTCCTCGATGAAACTGTTTTTTTTTTTTGACGAGGCCATCGGTACTGATAACAATCCGGCCCAGGTGGGGTTGGCCGAGACCCAATAACTTAAGGTTGCTCGGACCCCAACAGTTCTTTGGCATAAGCCCGATCTCCCTAAAAGACTAGTCCAATAGGGGAAGAGTGGCTTGCTAAGCAAGGTGAGATTATTTAGAGGCTCACACGGTCGCCGCCCGACTTTAGCGTCTTTGCCAGCGGGTAATAGTGGAGGATGTCCTCATCAGATACCAACAGAGGATGCGAGGACTCCACAAAAACATGGTCCCCATCCCTTTTCTTCTCCACACATGCAATCTGTCTATGTGGACAAACAATGCCACTGTGAAATGACCTTACATTCTTACCCAACATTGAGCTTGGCGTCAAAGCAATGTTTTGTTGTGTTTCGCTCCTTCCAAATTTCGCGGTGGCTACTAATATCTATTGAATTGATATGTTCTAAGGGCTGGGCGTGAAATCCACATGTAGGTAGGCTGATTTGTAGTAACAAATAACGAGGAGAGTATATATGCACTGTTGAACGGAAAATCATGCGTGCGTTGAACTTGGGAGTCATATATAAGGACCACAATGCCCCTGCAAATGGACGAAGTTCCGTTTGTCTCCTACCTTTTGGACCCCAGCAAGAGCACTGTGCACAGCATCGCACACACAAAGCTGGCCATATCGGTGCATCGGCCATTGGGCCTAACAGTGTCACATGGCCGTCAACAAACGCCAAGCGACCCACCGCTAAAAACACAACACACGGCCGTTTTCAGTCGGCCGGCTTGTCAGCCAGGATGTGTACAAGCAAAAGGTCCTGCATATGTGGATATTAGTGAATTTCAGCCATGCATAACTTAAGCCTACCCTAATGGATTATATTCATGCTACGACATTGTCAGGTGTATAGGAATTGCTAGATATATCTTAGATGATAAAATTACTAAGAATCTCAGTCACATTAAAACCTAGCACTAGATTGAGGGAAGAAGGGGAGGAACTCACCAACAATAATGACATGAAAGTCCGCTAGAAAAAAAACCTAGAGTTTAGATTTTGGGGCGAGGGGTGACACTGGGTAACGACTACACCAGCATGAGGATGGTGGAGGCCGTAGGACTAAGAGGAGATCGTTATAATCTCTTTTTCACTCTTGTCAAGTATTTTTACTTTCCTTTTTCTAGAATAAACAAACCTTAGAGAAATAACTAAATAATTCTCTCGAGTTTTCCTTTCATTTGCTCAATTTCGTATTTACGATTTCTCCTATTTAGCTTCTTTTTTTTTTTACCATTTCAGAGTTTTCCCTTGGTCTAAATTTGTTATCATAGGATAGGTCAAATCTTATCCTAGATAGGATTATTTTGGGATGCATGTAGTAGTTTTTTTTTTTTGATAATTTTCTTTAAAAAAACAAAAGCAGTGCCCCAAAGAGAGTGAAAACTAACCAAGATGTTACAGGATTTCCATATAAGCACTTAGTTTTATACTGCATACATTAGCTAAGCACAATTTAATACAATATTTAAGCAGTTAATAAGTTTTCCATAGTCAAAATTGTGTTAGCCATTTTTTAGCAAATAAGGCTAGAGTTGATTCCTTTTCTGGTTTTTTGGTTGGGAGAAAGCTGTAATTTTATCTCGCAACTTGTATGCGAGGACGCTTTGATTGAGTAATACATTTCTTTCTTCCAAATAAAAATGCAGCAAATTAAAACCCAGGCACCCAGCCTAGAAAAAAGGCACTGTCGACGCTCACCAGTTGATGCGATGGTGACTGTGCAAAGTGCAAAGCACACCATGCAATATAATGCAACATCACAAGAACGCAGGATGATATTGGCTCTGCTGGTCCCTGCTTGATCTTCTTTGACGTCTCGTCCATTAACACGATAAACCGCTCGCTCACACAGAAGATTCCACCTGCTGCACAGTCGCCCCCACCTCAATTCCTCCGATCCGTGAACCCCCAATTCCAAGAAAGAACAAAGCAAAAAGTCTTTTTCTATTTTACAAGGTAAAATATCTTTGCTCTTTCATGTTAAGGGTTAAAAAAAGAAAAGTGAATTACACTTTGTGTTAGAGGAGATAGCGCTCCAGTTTTGAGCAGCAAAAGAGCTGGAGCTCGAGTGAGCTTAGGGAGGATGGGTGGGGATTCCCTGGAGTTCACTCCAACTCCACCCGATAGATATTTGATCAAATCTCAGTCGTCTCTGTATAACAACGGTTGGGATGAACTAACTAATTCCCACTAGTTTTTTTTTCTTCATCCTAATATTTGTAACAAATCAATGAATACTATATATCTATATATCTAAAGAATATACAAACTAATTTTACTTGCATAACCTAGAAATTTCATGGTTCATCCACAATATAAAAATCATATTGGGCTTGTGGCTCTAATGTTTTAGCAATATGTTTGTGTGTATATTGTTTATGCATGTTTGCACGTACTAAATGTTTAACATAGTTCTATACATGACCATAGCTTCTTGTTTGGAGAAGAAGAGAGCGTGCAAACTTTGTTAATGTTGTTGGCAGAAACATACTCATTAGGAACATAAAAAGAAGAAAAGGTAAGTAATTTTCATTCAAGCATATGTGATTGAGGGAGTTAATTAATATAAGTTAATACGTGGCTTCATCTTAGCCATAGGAAACAATTGATGTCATGGATTTGGTCAAATCCACCTGGTGAAGTTATAGCTAACTCTAAGGGATTTGGACCCCATGGAAACCTCCCCTTTCTCGTTTTATTTGTTGCCAAAGAGCCAACTTTTTTTTAAAACTAATTTTTTTTGTTGCCAAAGAGCCAACTTTTTTTTGAAACTATTTTTTTTATATTTTCAATAAGCATGAGTAAAAACCCCTAGACGGGTTACAAGAAAAGAAAAATAACCACCAGTTGGCTGAATACACAAAGCACACGCCACAACTCGCTAACAACTAAAAACACTAACAGAGCCCAACATAAAGTGTCGATTCCAGACTTGACCACGAGCAGCTTAGGAGGTTCTGACTTTACAATCGTGTCATCGTTGCCAAGCTTGCCGCCAAGCGACATAGCAACTCTGACTTCAAGATGCAACATCGATATCTAGCACGCTGCCAATGATCAAGAGGCCTCGACATCCCACAATGGACTGCCAGAATGGTCAAGCGACCTTGATACCAAAGAGCCAACTAGAGCTTGAGCTTAGCCTGCTCTGCTTTGCTCAGACTTTGTTTGGTCTGAGAGGAGAGCAGGAAGAGACCTAAAAGATATGGATAACAGGTTGAAATAGAAACACTTTTGTTAACTTAGCTGGTTGAAAGTGAAAAGTGTTGTTAAACACTAGTCCAAGTTAAAACATTAGTAAAAAAAAGTTGTCCAATATGCAATTCACCATATTCATATATGTTATGAGTTGTTTAGAGTAAATCTTTTTTTTTTCTTGTCATGCATATGCTCACACACCACTACATATAAACATCTGAGAGTATGTCTTTTAATAAATTGAAAGCCAATACGCACATGCCTAATATTTGTAGACATCTTCTTCTATTTAAGGAAAATAAGCCTTAATGGATAGTCAAACCGTTGTACTCTTGTGCTTCTCCTATTCATTTCGGAGTAAATTAAATGAGCATAGGGAAACATCGCACTTGTGGAGGTAAATAATTATATACACACGGGTATTGCTTTTCAATAGAAATTTGAAGAGTGCATGAAAGATTACTAGTGCGTGTAGTGGTGCATCCGCACGTGTCTCTCCTATGTAAGCCAAAAAAAAAGTGAATGCAACTTTTTTATTTTTCAATAAAGGCAATCGTGTTATGTCACATTGATCATTTTAAAAAATGTCTATTGATTAGTACATTATATTATAAAGAGAAGGTTTGCCATTTTAGCCAACAAAGCTTCATTACCATGTTGATCAAGAAAGAGTAAATTTCATATAATGTATCACGTAACTATAGATTTAACATTAAATTTATCACAAAACTACAAATTTAAGGTGGAATATCATAAAACTACAAATTTATAGTAACAAAGTTATCACAAAACTACCGATTGCCAATTTAATCATAAAACTTGAACATTTATAACTCAAATATAACATTAGTGCTAAGAATTTAAACTTCAAAATCTATAGTTTTGTGATAAATATATTACTAAATCCATAGTTTTGCGATACTTAGCCTTAAACCGGTAGTTTTGTGATAAGTTTATGTTAATCTGTAGTTTGTGATACATTACCTTAAATATGTAGTTTCGTGATAATTTAGCTCAAATATATGTAGTTATGTGAAATTTACTCTTAGAAAAAGAGAGAAAGATTTACACTATCCGATCAGGGTGAGTCTAAATTATAATAACGATATAGATTTTCTCAATATAGTTACATAAAAAATAATTATATTTAAATTTGCTTTCAAAAATTGTTGCTCTAGGAAAACGGCGTGGAGAAATCAGCTAGTGAACTTAAATAGTACTCCCTCCGTTTTTTAATAGATGACGCCGTTAACTTTTTCTCACATGTTTGACCATTCGTCTTATTCAAAAATTTTATGAAAATGTATAAGATATAAATCACACTTAAAGTACTATGAGTGATAAAACAACTCATAACAAAATAAATTATAATTACATAAATTTTTTGAATAAGACCAATGGTCAAACATGTGAGAAAAAATCAACGGCGTCATCTATTAAAAAACGGAGGGAGTATTAGTACGTATGTACAATGTATAACAACTCAGTCATCTTACACCTGACTGAATTTAAATTCTACAATCTACATGGCAGAAGTCCATATTTTGCCCATGTATATACGTTCAAAACATAATACCAGCTGGAGTGCATGTAGAGATCTTTTAATTTGGTCCATGCCATGCTGATAAAGCATGTTTCTTCTACCTTTGCTCACGATCCCAATGGCTTTAATTATGTACCACGATGAGAAAGCATTAGATGCAATGAAACGCAAGAAAAAAGAAGATGATAAAAAAGCAGCAAATGAAGGGCCCCTGCCTCTACGCCAAATCTGGTGGTAGATCAACCGCATGACTGTCATGTTAATTAAGCAAGAAATTCCCTTTGCATTTCATCTCGGTAGAACACCTGCCTAGCTTTCAAATAAAAGGAAGGAGATTACCTTACTAACAGCATGGGAGAAATTTTGATTTTTATTTTTACCATTCTGACACACCTGAGTTGAAAATTGCGAAATGGAGCAGCCATTATATATGAGCATGCAAGATCTGAATAAAAGCTTCACTGCTTTCACTGGAGACCAAAACTGGCTCTCTTTCACAAGACATTCTCCATTTTCTTTCTTCTCTTCACTCACACTCACACTCACAAGAGAGTAAGTGAGCTAGCGAGTCACAGGTTTGCTCCAAAGCTGAGCCACCCCATCCCATCCTCTGGACTCATCTGCTTGGCTCTCCTCACACCACCCTTGGATTCTTGCACTTGGGAGCAAGCTATAGCTTTGCTTTGCCTTCCTCTCTTCAACCCTCACTCTCAGCATTGTTAAGCTCAGGATTTGGCCACCTTTCTCCTATAGGGATCACACAAACACCGGTAGAAAAAAGCTCTTCTTGGAGCTCTCTGCTTGGCCTCTCTCTCTTTAGTTTAGCCGCAAACAATTTCCTCTCATTTTTTCTTTGATGGCCGCGTTGCATGGGCATGGCTTCGCGGTCACCGTGCTACTGGTGGTGTTGTTGGTGCAATGTGACGCGGCGGAGGCGACGACGTGCGCCGGTGCGGTGCCGGCGAGGCCACGGCCGGAGACGGTGTCCATCGCCGAGTTCGGCGGCGTGGGCGACGGCCGGACGGTGAACACGTGGGCGTTCCACAAGGCAGTGTACCGCATCCAGCACCAGCGCCGCCGCGGCGGCACCACGCTGCTCGTGCCGGCCGGAACGTGGCTCACCGGCAGCTTCAACCTCACCAGCCACATGACCCTCTTCCTCGCCAGGGGCGCCGTCCTCAAGGCCACACAGGTCTCACTCTCACCTCGCCACCGCCATGGCCATGTTTTTCTTTTCCTCTCTTCTTCTTGGTGGTGAGTGGTGTCGTTGACATCGACGCAGGAGACGAGGAGCTGGCCGCTGGCGGAGCCGCTGCCGTCGTACGGAAGGGGGAGGGAGCTGCCGGGGGCGAGGTACACCAGCTTCATCCACGGCGACGGCCTCCGCGACATCGTGATTACAGGTGAAGAATTGAAGCTCAGCTTAGCTCAGCTCCGGTATTTCTAGTTGTTGCATGGTGGTAGCTTCTCTGCTGCTCACTTTCTCCCCTGTTGTTTTGGTATACTGTGTTCTTGTGATGGTCTTGATTGTCAATTCTTAAGTCTCAACCAACTAACTTTGGTCTCCTGGTCAGAGAATATTCAAAGAGACATGCATACATCCTGCAAAAAAGAATTCTGCACACACCGAGGAAAAAAAGATTATATGATAGCATGGGAGTGAGTGACTAAAGGAAGACTACTTTGTTGCTTACACGCATCAGACATAATAGGGTAATAAATAAAAGGAACCGAAAAGATAATAGACCTAGTTAACGCAACTTTAGATAAATAGTAGTAAGGGATTTGTCCATCATGGTTAAAATATGTACTCTTCCATGGTGGTTTGTCAGAGGTTTGTTATTTTAAGGTTTAGGCCATTACTGAGAGATTTAGAATACAAACATACCTTGGTGGGTAGCACGGTGGACGACCTGTTGTCGGTAAAGTTGAATCTTGCTCCTGTTCCATATCTAGTGGATGTACATGCATGCCAAGAACAGGAAATGGAACAGTGAACTGATTTGATTCTGTACCACTCTGGTACAGTTTACATCACTTCTACTATTAAGTTGGTGACTGGTTTAAGCCAGCATTATATGCTCAAGCAGACAACAAGCAGTCAGGCTTACTCTCACCAGGCAACTGAACTAACTGTGCTCTTATTTCGTCTGTAGCAATTTTCTCTGACTGTTCCTGCAAAAGAACTCATTAAGATTGATGCAAGTAATTAACATGTCAGATTTTTTTTATATTAAAAAAAAAGGTGACAAGGGAATCATCGATGGACAAGGTGATGTATGGTGGAACATGTGGAGGCAAAGGACACTTCAGCATACCAGGCCCAACCTTCTGGAATTCATGCATTCCAGTGGCATTCACATCTCCAACATTGTTCTCAAGAATTCACCCTTCTGGAACATCCATCCTGTTTATTGCGAGTAAGCACACGCTTGAAAGTTGAAATGTTCATCTCCTTCCTGCAAAAATTTGTCACTGCTTAATATTTCTTTCAGAGCAATGTTGGAAGGCCGAAAAATAGTTGATATGTGAAAATTTCAATACAATCCATTATGGAATAGTTACCAGAAATAAGAAATCTTGTGACACAGCTACAAAATTCTTGAGAATGTTCAGTTTCAAATGCCCATTTATGCTGAAATACTGATCCAATTCATTTTCTACACCCAGCAATGTGGTCATAACCAACATGATGATCATCGCACCACATGACTCGCCCAACACCGATGGAGTTGATCCAGGTATGCAAATTCATCTTAAGCTTCTGGCACACAAACAAACCACATATAAATTGATTAATTTTTCTTTGCTACATGCCTGACCATCCAAGAGTACATGGAACATGCTAATAATACTGAATCCTCCCACAGATTCTAGCACCAACGTATGCATCGAGGACTCCTACATCTCAACCGGCGACGATCTCGTGGCCATCAAGAGCGGCTGGGACGAGTACGGCATCGCCTACGGGCGGCCGAGCTCGGGCATCACCATCAGGCGCGTCAGGGGCTCGTCCCCCTTCAGCGGCATCGCCATCGGCAGCGAGGCATCGGGAGGCGTCAGCAACGTGCTGGTGGAGGACTGCAGCATCTTCAACAGCGGCTACGGCATCCACATCAAGACCAACATTGGGAGGGGCGGCTTCATCAGGAACATCACCGTTGACAACGTCCGCATGAACAGCGTCCGCAACGGGCTGCGCATCGCCGGCGATGTCGGTGACCACCCAGATGAGCACTTCAGCCAGCTCGCGCTGCCCACCGTGGATGCTGTCAGCATCAAGAACGTGTGGGGTGTCAATGTGCAGCAGCCCGGGTCGATCGAGGGGATCAGGAACTCGCCGTTCACGAGGATATGCCTCGCCAACGTGAAGCTGTTTGGGTGGAGGAATAATGCAGCTTGGAAGTGCAGGGACGTCCATGGCGCGGCGCTGGGTGTGCAGCCGGGGCCGTGTGCAGAGCTCACGACCAGCCTTTCTTCAGGGTTCTGCAGCTATTAGTGTGATCCAGTTGTATAATGTTTTTTGATTAGAAAGGTTGTGCTTGCTTTTTTTTTAGGTTTGACTGCTCCCTAATTGTGGTTGGGATTGATCAATATGTTAGGCTTGTGCTAATCAGTTAAGGAGTTTTAGGTGTCTTTTTGTTAGAGAAAGGTTTGGCTTCTAAGTTGTCAGTCTGAGTGCAAATATGTTCTAATCTGAATAATAAATCCCAGCTTGTGTGAGATTAATACTCCGTCAGACTTGTGATCAAATGAGAGTTGAATGTGCACATTTTTACTCCTAATTTATCTGTTGGCTGTTCCACAAACAATTCTAGGGTCATCAGAGGCGGCTCAATGGATGAGGAAGGAGGCTCTCTGCAAGAGGCGATTAGATTTTTTTTTTTTGAGACCAAGAGGCGATTAGATTGGGTCTACTCAATCAGAACAAAGGATATAATCCAACAGCTAACCTACAAAGATAAGTCAGTGTGCGTATCAAAAATTGGAAATGGATAGGATATGGTACAAGCACTGATCGAAAATTCCTGTTTCGTTTGTCAGGTACTTCTATATGATTGTGATACTGACATAATATGTGCTACTAACATTCTCATTTGGACAATTTCTACTCTGATAACTGTACTATACTTTAGGAAATGTGTTCTGAAAACTGTGGCAGCAAATCTTCCAGTTCATGATCCTAATAATGATAGTTCAATCAAAGACACTAACAACATCTAAAATCAAGATGTAAATGGAAACAAAAACACTCTGGACAGGATAAAACAAAGAAAAAAGGGCTGCGCTTCAAAAGTAATACTCCCGGGATAATGTAATCCCTAATCTTACTGCTCTAAATTAAACCCCCTTTTCCACTGACGATGATTAACAAAAGCTAATCCCCAGATACTTGTTAAACCTGCTATTAGTCCTTGCTACTTATGCATCATATATATAATATCCAGAAATTTTAGTACTCTAGCAGATAGTATGATTCAGCGTTCGTACCCATAGGGTTAGCTCGCGATCAGATCTCGCAGGCGCAGCGCCAGCCTAGATCGGATCTCGGCATCCATCTCGATCCCCCTAATCTCTCGTCTTCATCCTCCTCGGCAAGCTCGTCACCGGCCGGATCGAGCCCGAAACGGCGCCCGGATCCAGCCGATCCGCCGCCTCCGGGGAACCCTCCATCGACGGCGGCGGTGGGTGGGGACGGCGGCGGGGATGGGTGGGTGGGTCCCGCTCGTCGGAACGGGACGAACTGCTCACTAGTGGGCCCCAAAAATGCCCAGATGGGAGGAGAGGTCAAACGGGCTGTTATTGGGCCGGGTCCGTCTGGCCACCTCGATCTGATCCGATCCGTTTAATTACGGTTTCTTTTCTCTCTTATTTCTATAAAGCTAATGCCCACTAAACACCTAAATCTTAACATGCAAGCATAGTATTTATTAGCACTCCTAAAACCTACAAACAAGTATGCCACATCAACCTATTAAGCACACAAAGCTTAACATGCAAGCCTACAGTAATTATATCTACACTTTATTTTATTTTATTCTAAAATTAAACATACACATGCTAAATCATCATTCTCAAATTATTTTCATAATATTTCAATCCAAATCATTTCATCATTTCTCTAATATTCTAATATGTATCCCGCAGCAAAGCACGGGTTATCGTCTAGTTATTATTACTAGGAGTATCTTAGACTAAACATTAGCTTGATTAAGCTCTCAACTACTCCATAATAATAACATTACGACGTGATGATCCTTTTTGTTTGAAACTTTACAACACGTACGATCTTGGTTTGGTCAGTCTGGAATGGCCGGTGGTTCCCTTGTCAAACCCAAATTGCGCACGCAATGACGTATATATATCAGGAATCAAATCAAATGCTCTTCCGAGGCTTAAAAGATTCATCGAATTTTTAAAAGATAAAAAATGTCGGGGGGAAAAGAGTGACCTTACCATTGGTTAATCAAGCATGGCACGCATTTTTCTACTCTTGTGTTCTCCGTCAGGTTCGCTGATCGATGTGTGTGTCTGATGTACCAAATTGTTAGTGGTATACTAGTTTTTTTTAGGGGATTTTTTTTTGAGGGGAAGTTAGTGGTATAGTTGCAATCAAATGCTGTTAGCCGGAAGGATAAACAATATGTGGGTGGATCGTTGACTCAAATCATCGTACATCTAGCTGTGTGCACGCTCTTGTGCAGAGATGGCTCACTGATAAAAAAAATTATGAGGATTTGTTGTACGACAAACATATACATATGGAGTACTCCATGAAGAACAACCTAACTGTACACAACAGAATAGTATTAACCAAACACATTCTTCACTTTGGCCTTGTTTGAATCCTCTGTGCTATTAAATATCTCTACGGAATCTTACTATTTAGAAGTATTAAACGTACATTACTGACAAAATCCATTCCATAACCCCTAGGCTATTTTGCGAGACGAATCTATTGAGGTATGTTAATCCATGGTTAATGGATGATCACTGTAACCCACTGGTAGAGAAGGAGTTTTTACTCCCGGTTCGTAACCCCCTATAGTCCCGGTTTTCCAACCGGGACTATGAATCCGAGACTAAAGATCGCTATCTTTAGTTCCGGGTGAAAAAACCGGGAGTAAAAATCCATTTTTTTTCCCGGTTGGTGTTACCAACCGGGACTAAAGATACTAACACCAACCGGGACTAAAGAGGCTAGATCCGGTTGCTACTTTATTCTATTTTTTTCTTTATTGTTTTTAATATATTGATTCACTCTATCCCATCCCAAAATCCCAAATCAATCATCCCCGAATAGTCTCTAAATTCTCAAATCAATATCTCTAAATACATCACAAAATCTTAAAAAAATTACATCACAACTTCTACAAAATTCATGACAAATACATCACATATTCACATCACACACAAATCAAATACATCACACACAAATCATTTCAGATCCGAATCACAGATTCTCAAAAAAAAGAAAGAAAAAAAAGAAAGAAGACGAACGGCTTGCCGCCTCGCCGACCGCCAGCCGAGCCGCCCGTCGCCGCCAGCCGCCCGCACGCCGCCTCGCTCGGCCCTCCGTGCGCCGCGCCGCCGCGCCGGCCGCTAGCCGCCAGCGCGCCGCCTCGCCCGGCCCTCCGCGCGCCGCACCGCCGCGCCGGCCGGACGGCCCTCCGCTCGCCGCGCCGCCGCGCGGGCCGGCCCTCCGCGCCCCGCCGTTGCAGAGGGAGGTGGGGAGGAGGGAGAGGAGGAGAGGAAAGGAGGAGGGAGAGGAGGAGAGGAAAGGAGGAGGAGAGGAAAGGAGGAGGGAGAGGAGGAGAGGAAAGGAGGAGGGAGAGGAAGAGATAAGGGTGACTCTGTGAGGAGATGAGTTAAAAAAGGAGAGGAGGAGATTGTATTGATCCGATCCGCGTGCAACTATCCCGCTTATGTCGACTTTATTCCCGGTTGGTGTTACCAACCGGGACTAAAGATCTTTAGTCCCGGTTGGTAACACCAACTGGGAGTAAAGCTTATATCGATCTTTTTTCCTGGTTGGTGTTACCAATCGGGACTATAAATAGATCTTTAGTCCCGGTTGGTAGAGCTTTTAAACCGGGATTAAAGATATTTTTAGTCCCGGTTTTTAATATAACCGGGACTATTGTGAAAACTGGTGGACCGACCAAAGATGGTTTCTCCACCAGTGAAATCACGGATGATACAATCACTGCTCGCGCCTTCTGCTGTCGGTGCTCCATTTAAACGCGGAAGTTAACAGTAATTTTACATGAACTCATTCTTTTTAAAAGCATAAAGTGAGACTATATAATACCTCAAATTTTGTGTGTGTGTGATAATGTTTGCTGAGATGACAGTTAATTTACGCATAAGCCCATGAAGGATGGTAAAACCGAAAAAAAAGCATTATAAGCTAACGAAGATGTTATCAAAGAGCAAACCCGAAAGGGACCTCCTAAAGATGGAGGCTAACACTACTGCCGAAGAGAAAGAATACGAGAGAGGGGTTTGCTATTCAGCAACTAATTTAATCAGCACTTTATGAATGAATTCAATTATAATGAAGGGCTTGTTTAGTTCAATGTTAAAAGACAACTTATCATTTATTGGTAAAGCCAAAATTTGGTGTTTAATTTAACACCTTATCAAATTTTGGTATATAGTTTTGTGAATAGAAGTTTGTAGAGAATTACCAAATTTTGGTGTTTAATTTAACACCTTATCAAATTTTGGTATATAGTTTTGTGAATAGAAGTTTGTAGAGAATTACCCAATATTGGTAGAAATTGGGAAAGTTGCGATGGTAAAAATCTTGTTTAGCTTGTTACTTTACTAAAATTCAGCAATACCAAAATTTGGTTTGGTTGATTTTGACAACAAATTGAATAAGCCCAAAATGTCTGTAATTTTCTTCAATCAAAAGGAGGCTTTGGTGATTGAACATAGGGAATATCGTCAAGAGTATGCGGGGAGTTCATATATGCCCGCTTCAAAGTCAAGATGAAATATCACAAAATCTATTTCGAGAGGCATCTCGATTTAGAATTAACGAGCGACACGGATAATTACGTGAGAAGCACTAGTAGCGTTACAGACATGCATGCAAGTAGTTTATGCTATTAGGTTGTGCATTTTTTTTTCTTCTTATAAAATTTTCTCTTAAATTACTTATTCGATCTATAATCCGATTACACCATTGTATTCGTTGCAATTAAATCTTTATATCAAGATCTTACATGATAATATTATGATGAAAAAACATTTATGTTGTAAATTACTTTTTATTATATATGCAAATTACTTTTATCTTATATATAAATTACTTTTAGATTTGATTAAATTACTTCTCGTAATTTCATAATGCTTTGAGTTGATTACTTTTATTTTTTTTTACTCAATTCCATAATTTGTGCTGATTAAATTTAATTTCTAAATAGACTTATATTTTTATTCCTACGATAAATTTACTTCTAATATCGTAATAACTTACTGTAATAACTTACTTTCATTTTATGCTAAGTTACTTTTATGATTTATGTAAATTACTTTCAGGCTTTATTAAATTTACTTTCATAAATGTATTTACATGAAAATCTTCTCTACACTTTTGAATTTACTCCACATAAGTTTCTTACTGGAACTCACTCATAACGTAATTACTTCTAATGCTATATAGAGTTACTTCTATTACATAGCTAAGTTACTTCTATAATTTAAATAAATTACTTTTAAATTAATAAAATGTTTTAATTTATTCAACAGGGATCTCGTTTTGTCATATATTTTAAGTGGAGTATAATGATGCAAATAGATCTTAAAAATAATATGTGATTTAAAAGATACAAGTGATTAAAGAGGTAAAAAACGTGCACTATAGTACTTTTTAAGCTAAAAAGAGATTTAAATATAGGACGGAGTGATCGCTGCTTTATGCAAACCAGAGACCGGTCGCTGTGTAGTTATGTCCATGAAATTTAATTAAGCAGGTTAAGAACGCCCCTGATTTCAGGAAATCTTGTTGGTGACTGCCAGAATCAAGCTAGCTTGTCAGTCGTCTGTTTTCAGCTGAGTATTCATGCACGCAATCTTGTTGTTGCCTCTCTGCGATTTTGATCGTAGCGGTTTTCAGACAACTGAAATGGTTTATATAGCGATCGAGCAACATTTAATTTGTTACATAGAAACATGATTAATTAATGCACGCATTTGAAATAGGAGAACAATTTATTAACATCCGTGACACAAACAACAACATGAACACTCGGGATAAGTCGAGAGTACCACAACACAAATACGGTATACGAAATACATATACGGCCGTAGAAAAGTAGAATACACAGCAGCCATATGAATCATGAATGAACTCGACACAACAACACAAGCAGACGATGGAGAAGAAGAAGCAGCGGCAAGCTAGGCTGATCGATCGAGAGACCTAGAAGCGGTTCACAAAGTCCTTGAGCCAACTCATCACCCCGCCTTTCTCCTCCTCCTCGCCGGCGGCGGCGGCGTCCTCCGCGCGGTGGCGGAAGCTGAGGTGGTGGTGGTGGTGGTGGAAGCGGCAGCCGCGGTGGTGGTGCATCCTGCTGCTCATCAGCGCCTTCCTGATCCACCGCCTCGCCATCTCCTCCAGCTCGCGCTCGTCGTCGTCCTTGTGGTGGTGGTGGTGGAAGCGCTTGGTCCTCATCTCGGACTCCTCCTCCTCCTCGTGGTGGTGGCGGAACCGCTTCATGGGCGCACCCTCCTCGCGCTGCTCGTGGTCGTCTTCGTGGTGGTGGTGGTGGTGGCGGCGGCGGTGGAAGCTGATCAACCGCTCCACGGCGGGCGAAGCCTCGTCGGCCTGCTCGTGCTCGTCCTCCTCGTTCTCGTCGTGGTGATGATGGTGGTGGCGATGATGGTGGTGGTGGGAGCGGCGGCCGTGGTGGAGCCTCGCCATCTCATCCTCGTCTTCCTCCTCGGCGGCGGCTACGGCGGCATACTGGCGGCGCGAGTCCGGATCTGGCTCCGCGACGGGGAGAACCACCCCCTCCTCCTCCTCCCTGCGCTCCTCGCCGCGGGTCGCCGGCTCGACTGGCATCTCGAACACCAGCTGCTGCTTCTCCTCCTTGCCATGGAATCCCTCCCCATGGCGATGGCCGCCGTGGCGCATGTGGTGGCGGTAGCGGCAGTGGTAGCGGCAGGGGAAGCGGAGGAAGCCCTGCTGGTCCGCCGCGTCGTCGTCGACCGGGATCACAGGCCCCTCGGGGCTCGCCGCCGCCGCCGCGGGCTCGTCACGGGCGGCGGCGGCGGCGTCGAGGTAGGGCGGGACGATGGCGACGGACGTGCCGGCGGCGTCACCACCATTGTGCTCGACGTAGGCTTCACGGTTGGCGTAGGCGGGGGCGGTCTCCTGATCGGCCTCGCCGTGGACGACGCGGCAGAGGGCGACGAGGAGGAGTGCGGCGGCGACGGCGAGGCGGGCCATGGCGGCGAGAGATCGAGCGCGGCGTTGACCGACGAGAGGAGGCGGGGGGCGGGGGCATTTGCTTTGTAGGCCGCGGGTGGGGGGCCCACTGATGGGCTGTATGGTTGACGTGGCACTATCTGATTGGTTTAACAAACGAGTTCCAAGTTAAACACTCAGACGGGTTAGAGGATAGTACGTTGCACTTTGACATTTTGGCAACTTGTAACTCACGTAGAATATGTTGTACCATATGCATCCGAATAATTCAGGAAAAGGTCCGCGCGTATTGCGCGGCTAGAATCATTATATTTTCTCTCATATAATAGCATATATGTTTTCTAAATGTATTATTCAAATATATTAAAATGGCAACATAATTTAAAATTTTGTACTAACTTTACGAAACTACTCATGTGTAATATTCATATTGTATTTTATATACGTGTTAGTTATTAATTATTTTCAATATCAAATTTTAGTTATTTATAAATTATATTCCTATCTGAATTTCAATATTTCTTTTTTTTATTCTGAATTTTTGTTTTCTAAAAAATGTATTTCTATATAGACTCTAGGCTCTTCTTCTAATATTATTTATTTTTAATAATGAATTTTTATTATTTCTAATTGTATTTCTATGTAGACTCTAAATTCATCTTACAATATTCAATTTTTAATCTTGAATTTCAGTTACTTCTAAATTGTATTCCTATATTGACTTTATACTCTTCTTCCCATTTTTTTCAATTTCGAATTTTAGTTATTTGTAAATTATATTTTATACTAACTCTAAACTCTACTTTTAATTTTATTATGTTTATTCTGAATTTTAATTAGTTTTAAATTCCTATATGGACTCTATACTCTACTTCTCATATTCCTTATTTTTAATTCTGATTTTCTATTATTTCTTAATTGTATTTCTACATGGACTCTATACTCTACTTCTAATATTCCTTATTTTTAATTCCGAATTTCTGTTATTTCTTAATTTTATTTCTATATGGACTCTAGTCTCCTCTTCCACTATTCCTTATTTTTTAATTCCGAATTTTAACTATTTTTAAATTGTATTTCTATATGGACTATGTTTTTCTTTTTCTCCGATTAATATGGTAATTTCTAGGCCGTGAGAGCGAACGTGAAGGCTCATTTTTCTGTTCCTTTAATAAGTTAATAGATGATAGAAAAATATGTTGAGAGATAATATTCGATAACTAGCCCCCGTGTGTGTATTTCACTTCTAGAAAAAAGGTTTTTGCAGGCGGGCCAAATCCGTCTTTTCAGGCGGACCGGTGTTCCGCCTATAAGCAAATGACTGTGAAAATAGATAATTTTCGCAGGCGGATCTGAGGTCCGCCTGCGAAAATCAATTTTTGCAGGCGGACGGCATCTTCGCAGGTGGCAGATTCACTCGCCTGCAAAGCAAATTTCAGCGAATAAAAAAAAGACGCCCCACCACCGCCGTCGGTCTCTCCCTCTAGCTGACGACGGCTCTCCTCCTCCATCTGCTGCCGTCCCCACAGGGGTTGCTGCCGTCGTCGCATCGTCATCGTCGTCGCGTCGTGGTCGTCGTCGTTGAGGATGAAGCTGGTGGCGCCGTTGTCACGTCGTGGTCGTCTTAGCGTCGTTGGCACCGTCGTCGTCGAGAGGGAGGAAGCTGGGGGCGAGGAGGGAGCCGGTGGCGGAGATGGAGCCGACGGCGAGGAGGGGAACCGGCGGCGGAGGCAGGGAGGAGGGGAGCCGGTGGATCCGCCGCTTCATGGTGCCGCGAACGTCGTCGTCGTCGTCGCGGCCGAGGCGAGCCGACGGCTCGCGGAGGTGGCGTCGCGGTCGTCGTCGTCATCGAGGAGGGCAGCCGGCGGCGGAGGCGGGGAGGAGGGGAGCCGGTAGATCCGCCGCTTCACAGCGCCGCGAAGGTCATCATCGTCGCGGCCGAGGGGAGCCGACGGCTCACTGAGGCGGCGTCTCATCGAGGAGGGAGCCGGCGGCGGAGACGGGGAGGAGGGCAGCTGACGACGGAGGCGGGGGGAGGGGAGCTGGTGGATCCGCTGCTTCACGGCGTTGCGAAGGTCATCATCTCACGACCGAGGGGAGCCGACGGCGAGCGGAGGCGGCGTCGCGGTCGTCGTCGTCGTCGAGGAGGGAGCCGGCGGCGGAGGCAGGGAGGAGGGCAGCCGGCAGCGGAGGCAGGGATGAGGTGAGCCGGTGGAGGATTTTTTTTGCTAAGTGTGTGAGGGAGAAGGAGAGAGAGAGGAGGGGGGATGAGTGGTGGAGAGGAGAGGATAAGAATGGTGGAGGAGAGGATAAGGATGACCCTTTTTTTTGGAGGTGTGATTTTTGTAGACGGACCACATAAGGTTCCGATTTATTTTCGCAGGCGGACCTCTTAAGTGGTCCGCCTGGAAAAAATGATTTTCGCAGGCGGATGGTGAGCTCCACCCCGATTTACATTTTTCTAGGCGGCTATTTAGCTCCGAGGGTCATACCCGCCTGGAAAAATAAAAGGCCAACGTTGCTAAAAAAACATTTTTTCTAGTAGTGTTTAAATAAGTCCGTAAAATTATTCGTATATTCTTTCGAGTTTTTTTAGGTTTTTTATATGGTATTATTGACTTTTCAATATATATTTGATCATTAATTTATCTTATTATTATTTTTACAAATATGAAAAAACTATTTAATGACAAAACAAATGAATAATAATTATGTATTTTTGCTAATAAAACAAACCATCAAACATATATAAAAGAATTAACGGTATTAAATATTAAAATTTTAAAACTAGAGGGAGTAATATATTATTATGTTGAGGAATATTACGAAGTGAAGAGCAAAGTCGTAGAAATTGACTAAGGAAATACTCCGTTTTTTAATAGATGACGCCGTTGACTTTTTCTCACATGTTTGACCATTCATCTTATTCAAAAATTTTATGCAAATGTATAAGATATAAATAACACTTAAAGTACTATGAGTCATAAAACAACTCATAACAAAATAAATTATAATTACGTAAATTTTTTGAATAAGACGAATGGTCAAACATATGAGAAAAAGTCAACGGCGTCATCTATTAAAAAACGGAGGTATTATAATACTGCCCAGTACTAGGAATCAGGTCATGACATATCCTAACACTAACAGCACTTCGCCTACATTCATCGTATTCTCTATTACTCCCTTCGTCCCAAAATAAGTGCAGTTTTAGCACTGTTCATGTCCAACTGTCGAAACAAGATTTCAGCAATAATAAAAGGGGGAGGCGATCAAGCTAGGAAAGTGGATGGGTTTGGAGACAAGGAATTTTATATAGGTTTAGGCCTTCTTATTCAAGAAGTAATACCCTCCTGTCCGGGGATGATTCCGCCGAGTGTGTTATTGATTCTATAAATTGGAAAAAAGATCATACCCCGAGAGGCACACAGACCCCTCCTTATATAGGGGAAGAGGTCCGCTTTACAAAATACAGTCCATATCCTAACGGAATATAGGATTATAGATAAAATACAATCGTAACCGACTAAGATCCCGGGTATTTCTTTGACATACAAGTTTAGAATCTAACCCGAGTCCTTATAGAGATATTCTATCTATATTTGGTACCGTATATCCGACTAAATTATAACTGTCATGTAGATATGGGGTATCCATAATCTCCACACTAACGTTTGACCATTTGTCTTATTTGAAAAAAAAATATAATTAGCATTTTTATTGCTATTACATGATAAAACATGAGTAGTACTTTATGTGTGGCTAATTCTTTTTAATTTTTTCATAAATTTTTCAAATAAGACGGACGGTCAAAATGCTAAACACGGATATCTATGGCTACACTTATTTTGGGACGGAGGTAGTAGTACATGACTTGCTATTTCAAAAATAGTTTTACTGAAGAAACGTTGTAATTAGTTTTTTTATTAGTGCCCCTCGCGGTTTACTGAAGGATTCTGTAATTAGTTTTTTATTAGTGTTCGAATATTTCATGCGACACCATATATAATATCCGACACCACTCGATCTAAACATCCCCTTCATCTTTGAAATCCCAACAATAGCGGTACCATTATCATTTCCGCCTTAACCATTATGCTTATGTTTCCCAAAATAAAATATATGAAAGAAATGGAAATGGGATTGGCAGTTTTCCGATTGACCATTTTCATATCCCTGCGTCTATGTGAAGGAAACGCTGGCAAATGCAAACTCTCCATTCTTTTGTTTTTTTTTCAACGTGTAATAACTACACACAGGGGCCTCGTCTAGAGATTTATTTATCTAAAGTACAAAAGTTTGGTTGGATACTTGGGTCTCTACAAAACGCATCTACATAGGGGGATGTTTGGATACAGTTACTAAAGTTAGTTCCTACCACATCAGATGTTTATATATAAAATAGAGTATTAAACATAGACTACTTACAAAAATAATTACATAAATGAGAGCTAATTCACGAGACAATTTTTTAAACCTAATTAATCTATAATTAGCACGTGTTTATTGAATTATTGTAGCATCACATAGCCTAATCATGGATTAATTAGTCTCAATAGATTCGTCTCGCGAATTAGTCCAGGCTTATGGAATGGGTTTTGTCATTAATTTATGTTTAATACTTCTAATTAGCGTCAAACATCCGATGTGACATGGACTAAACAATTTTAGTCCCATCCAAACACCCCCTTAGTTTGAAAGAACCGGGTGGTCGATCAGTCTATATATAGATGGGTGCAGAGCAGGTACAATAGCAGACTGTAAGCCGCTATAAACACATATTGAGTATATAAAAGAGGAGAGAAGAGAAGCGGGCTACAGATTTGTAGCCAGCTATAGCACGGACTAAAACACAATGTTTGTATGACATATGAAACCTTGTATTAATAGTGCAATATAGGTTTATAGGTAACTATTGTATGAATTGGCTATTAAATCAGTTATAGTACTTTCTCCGGGCTAATAATACTTATCGTTTTGGACAAGTGTGATGTCAAACTTTAAAATCTTTGGTTATTTATAATTTGTAAAATATTTGTCAATGAAATATGGTGACTATATGCATATATTAATCTTAAAAAATACTTCAAAAAATTATATATTTGTTAACATTTATATATATATTATAATAAAAAATAACGGTCAAAGTTATTTTTTAAGACCGTACCGTTGTTAAAAACGATAAGTATTATTAATCCGGAGGGTGTAGTTGGCTATACCCTAAGGGTCTATTTGGTACAGCTCCAACTCTTAAATTTAACTCCAGGAGTTGGGTTTGGAGTGGAGTTGTGGAGCTGACTAAACCCAGCTTCATAACTCTAGTTTATTTTGTAAGAGAGCTCCACCCAGCTCAACTCCCAGTTTTGGTGGAGCTAAAACTATTTGGCTGAGCTCCAACTCTAGAAGAGGTGGAGCTGGAGCTGTGCCAACCATGCCCTTATCAAGCTCCCCTTGGACTTCAATTTTGCGTATGCAGTGACGTCAGTTAACGAAGGAATATTGAGATCGACCATAATCAAATCCAGATATCGAGGGTCGTGTTTGCAAAAGGTGTGTTTAGCTAACCGAAGTTAACTAAGCTAGGTTTGTGTTTGCATGTGACACGGTCACAGTGAGCCTCGGTCCAAGGAAGGCCCTTATCCTATAATGAAAGTACTTTACTTTAACTGATTAACCAAAGCCAAAGGCTGGTACCAATCCTAATGACTGGGCTTTACTTCAATTAATCCAAATCCGGCCAAGCAAGGCTATTTTTTAAGATAAAGAAAAGAATCTCAGCCTTTGCGACTAAATAAGTTAGATCTACTTATTATATATTTCACTCAATATAGAGCACGTAAAAAACAGGAAATAACTAAACAATAGCTAATAATACCAATATAAAATAGAGAATACATTTATTCAAGTCTATTTAAAAATCTCCAATCGGATTTACCAAATATCTGCATGACCATTGTTTCTAGATTTCGACACATGCATAGTATGTATTAGTTGCTTGAAGCTAAGGCTATGGCTTGATTAATTAGTTATTGCCAACAGCTTTTACGAAAGCAGATTCAGGAATTGACGAACGTAACACTGCCGGATTAAATAGGGCCTAGCAAAACCGAAAAAAAGAAACGAACCTAACGAGCAAAATTACCAGTTAACCGTTGAATGCAGTTAATTAATATGGTCGAATCTGATTCGTATCCTGATCCATAATATCAGATATTTCAACCCCTCAACTATTAAAACTAGTGCAATTTGACTCATTCGGTGGTTTTGGAGAGCCGTTTCGCTGACGTGATGCATACGTGGAGGTGTTGACTTGGTTTTTATTCCACGTGGAGTTGACGTGGCACTTATGTGTATTATAATTTAAAAAAATGAGCAGGACCCATTTGTATCACACAAATATAAATGTGGGCCCCACAAGTCAGCCGTCTTCATTCTTCGTCCTCCCTCTCTCTCTCCCCCCTCATCCCTCTCTTTCTCACCCCCTTTCTCCTCCCCTTTGGAGGAACACAACGAGTAGGGACCCAGCCGCCGGCGGCGGCGGGCAGGGGCCGGGGCGGCGCCGGAGCTGCGGAGGAGGAGGAGGATGGACTGGTCGAACCTTGGCGGGGAGGGGCCGGTCTCTCATCGCCGAGCGCGTGGCGGGCTTCCTTCCTCGGCGGCAGTGGCGGCGGAGCGTGCGGAGGAGGATGGATTGGTCGAACCGCTTCCTTCCCCGGCAGTAGCGCAGAGTAGCGACGCCGTTTGCCGCCCGCCGACCCCGCCCGAGATGCTGTGGTGGGAAAGGAGTGTATGGAGGCGGAGTAATGTTCGCGGCGGATGAGGAGCTCGAGCTCCGCGACGTAGAGGGGCGCCGCCGCCACAGCTGGGGACGCGCGGTGCAGAGCGCTACGGAGTCCGGGAGGGACCGACGGGCGGGAGGATGCGATCAAGCTCGTCGTCCTCGCCGGAGGGGGCCATCTCATCGGGTGAAGCCTCGTCGCAGAAGTTGCCGGCAGACCCCGTCGTCGTCGTCATTTATGGAGGCATCCAACGAAGCTCACGGCTATCGCCGCCACTCCCGCCTCTGCCGCCGCTGGTTCCCGCCGCATGCCGGGAGAGACAGACCCACATGTCGCGCGCGCCGACGGCTCCCTTGTTAGAAATTAATCTTGTTGTTTCTTAATTTCAGCATGTTTATCTATATGCATGTGTGTATTGCATGGCCTGGCGAGCTAGCTATATGTACGTGGGTGCTGCATGGCTTAGTGAGTAGTGGTTGGCAGGGAGTAGTGAGCCAATAAAGAGCCAGGAGATGAGAGCACATGTATGTAGCTTAGTTAGTTAGCCATGCATAATTGTGGGCTAGTGATTAGCCGAGTCTTGCACAAGATTAGGAGTAGGAAGTGGTCAGTTTGCATGCATGCAGGTTAGTTGGTTGGTGCAAGCAACGACGTCGGCGAGGACTCAGTACTTGTGAAGTTGCGGCCAAGTAAACAGGACGTGGGCGTCGTGTGTGGCTCGAGAAGCGGAACAACCAGCTTCGTGTGTGTATGTGCTGTGCTCATTGTAATCATTTAGTTAAGAGAAAAAACCAGTGAAAAGGGCACAAGTTGTTTTGGTGCCGCAAAGATCCTGTGTGTTTGCTTCTGTGTTTGTGTTTCTTCCTCGCTGCCTCGTTCAGAAAGTGTAGCTTGTATTCGCGTGAGTTGCTTTGATTCCCAACATCCCTCGATCTCGGGCTCCTCTCTCCCGGCGTTGCCGGTGCCTCCGCCCCCTCCCTCCCCCCCCCCTCCCGGGCGGATGCCGAAGAGGGAGAGAGAGATAAGGTAGAGAGAGAGGAGGGAGAAGGGATAGACCCACAGTGGGCCCCACAAAATTTCCTTTTGTGTGAATGACGAATGGGCCCCACATGTATGTTTTTAATTGTAATGCCACCCTAGCGCCACGTCAATAGCAGACTAGGTCAACACTGCCACGTAGACGCCACGTCAGCAAATCCGTTCTCTAAAACCACTGAGAAAGTTAAATTGCACCAATTTTAACAGCTTAGAGGTCAATATATCTGATTTTGCGGTTTAGTGTCATGGATTAGATATGGGTCACTTTTAAGGGAGTCAAAGTGTACTTATTCCTTGATATGCTAAGCCATGTCATGTCCTGTTGATCCGGCATGAGAGCCGGCCCAACGCGGGATTTTTAATTTTGGGAATAAGTTTACCGGAGGTCCCTTAACTTAACAGCGAGATTTTTTGAGGTCCCTTAACCACAAAACCAGAAATCTTCACCCCTCAACTTTACAAAACCGTCTAATTTGGGTCCCAAGACAGTATACATGGCTGGTTTTGATGATGTGGCATTCTAGTCAGCAAAAATAATTAAAATAAATATGTAGGGGTCCACATGTCAGTGAGAGAAAATGATGTGGGCCCCACATCTCTTTTTTTTTCTTTTTCTCTTCTCTTCTCAACTTCTCAGCTCTCACGCGCAGGCGGGAAGATGGCGGCCGACAGCGGAGCGGGCGCGGTTGCCAACGCAGCGGGCGCTGCGGCGCGCGGGGAAGAAGCAGGAGAGGGGGAGAGGAGGCGGCCGGCGCCAGAGAAGGGGAGAGAGGCGGCCGGCGCGACCGCCCGCGACGGCGGGAGCGGCGGCCGGCGCGCGCCTCTCCCCATCCGGAGCCACGGCGGGTTAGCAAGCGAACGGCGTACTCGCTATCGCCAGCCACGCCGCCTCCACGGCGCCGCGCACCTCCTCGGCGCGACACCGGCAGAGGATGCGGAGGAGAGCGGCCGGGGTGGACGCGTGCGCCGATGGGAGCGCCGGGAGAGGGCTCGACGACGAGCAGGCAGATGGGCAGGCCGTCGATGCTCCGCCGCCGCTTCGCCTGCCTCCGGAACCCGCCACAGAATGCGCGTCTGTCTAGCCGACGCATCGCCTCCGGCGTCCGCTCCTTCGGCGGCACCGTCCCCAGCTGCCCCGTCTGCCTCCAGTCGCCGTCGTCGTCGTTATGAAACACCCATTAATTAGTTTGCACGCTGCATGCAGCTAGCTAGCCAACCGGATTCATGGGGTTGTCCACCATGCCCTGCCCGTCCATGGGCTGGTCCAACACGGGAGGATGCCGTGCTTCTCCAGCTGCCCACGCAGTCCGACGCCGCTCAACATCAGCAGCTGCAGGCTCCCCAGCGTCCCGGTGTGGTCGCGTGCACCGATGGGAGCGCCGGGAGAGGGCTCGGCGGCGAGCGGGATAATGGGCAGGGAAGGGTCGAGCTACGGCATGCGGGTGGCTGCGGCCACCGCCCGCCGCAGGCTCCGCTCTCCGCTGCTCCGCGTGCCTGCTCGCCCGCCGTCGCCGCTAGTAGCCGCGCTCGCCCGTCGCTGCCTCCCGCCTGCTCCGCTCTCCAACGCTCCACCTGCCTGCTTGTCCGCCGTCGGCACTCGCAGCCACGCTCGCCCGCCGCTGCCCCGTCCTGCCTGCTTCGCAGCCGCCGACTCCGCTCTCCGCCGCCGCCACTCCGGCCGCTTTGCTGCCGCGGCGACTACTGCAGCTCTCCCCTCTGCGGCAAGAAAAGGGAAAAGAGAAGAAGAAAGAGAAAGGAAGAGGATGATGCTGACAAGTGGGCCCTTACTATTTCCTTCTCACTCACTCGTGGGTGCCATATTATTTTTTTATTTTTTTTGCTAACTAGGACGTCACGTCAGCGAAACCGGACGTCTATACTGCCTAGGGACTTTTTTTTGGACGGTTTTACATAATTGAGGGGTACACATTTCTGGTTTCGTGGTTAAGGGACCTCAAAAAATCTCGCTGTTAAGTTGAGGGACCTCGGGTGAACTTATTCCTTAATTTTGCGCTAGTTGGGCCAACGTATAATAGTCCAATTTTCAGCCCATGTCCGCATTGCGACCTCCCTCTCGTAGTTCAGCCCAAGTAAAATTTTGGGCTCATTACGGTCGTTTTTAAAGTTTTTAAATTTGGAGCTCACTAGAGGACACTGATAAAAGTATGTTAAAATCAGCATCAAATTTAAGTTGAAAATTCAATTTTGGTTTTAGCTTTGGTTTTGACTTATTAGAGTATAATCAATGAGGGTCGGAATAGATTCTGCTTAATCTAGACGAGACTATCATCATGCAAGTCTAGCTAGGTACGACCTACGCGTTGGCCGTGACCGCGACCTTGACCTTCATGCCCGCGGTGCAGTGGTCCCGGATGCTGCAGATGAAGAAGGCCTCGCCGCCGGCGAGCTTGATCCGGTCGTCGCCGGAGTTGTACACCTTGGACGGCCCGGTCACCGTGCACCCGCCGTACCCGGCCCGGTCCACCTCCACCACGTTGTGAATCTTCGCGTCATACTTGAACACTGCGTATCCACATCCATATGTATTTATATATCAAACTCATGATCAAATTGGATTAAGTCGTTTTTGTTTTTTAAGACAAATTTAGGTTTGTCCAACTACAACGCTAAATTAGTTTTATTAAATATATCTTGATAATATTTAAAAAATATTATATTTCTATAAACTTAATCAAACTTAAAAATGTTCGACTTCTCTTAAAAGTGAAAGCAAACTTGTAATACAAAATACAAAAGGGAGAAAGTATAAATTATGTTGCTCGATCGAGCATCGATCTCACCAAGCTCGTCGCCGGGCTGGATTCGCTTGCCGTTCTCCCAGCCGGCGACGCCGAAGGACCATCCCTTGTTGTCGCCGACGGCCCAATCCTCGCCGTGGACGACGGCGATGGCGGCAGCCGCGCAGCAAAGCGCCAGCAGCAGCCCCGGCGCGGCGGCGCTTCCCCGTGCCATTGATGCTACTGCCGGTGCCGCAGTTTCTTACGAATTAATTAACGTTGTCACCCGAGCTCACAAGAACGATCAGGTGATGTGATGATCGACTTGGCTGCTTTCCTTTTCTAATTTCTAGTATCGTTTTGTGTCTATAGGGGAAGGCTCTGTTTTTATAGCTAGCCTGTATATTTATTTATTAGACCTTACTACTAGTGACGTTGGAGAGATATCAGATATGCACATTGAAATGATGGGATATGCAGCATTAATAGATCCGTGTATATCCACTTGTTAATATAGAGACCGACAGTAGTCTCATCTATTGTCTTAAAAATTTGAAATGGAGGAAGGATGCACATTTATTGGAATAGATATATCCAACTATTTCTAAGAGCAAGTATCATTGATACTAATATGAAAAGAAGCAGTTCACTCTTTTGCTAGATGCACCCACGAAAACGCACATAGAATGTTATGCAGGCCCTCCCTAACCATTAGATCATCCTATCCAATGGTCCAGATATAAAAATCCCTGATGTGAGATGCGATCCAACAATGAAATCACGCAGACGCCGGATCATTCCTCAGTCACGCATGGCGCATGCCGCAACTTCCTCCAACGCAAACATCGCACCTTATTTCCTCCAATCAATCCCCCACACACTGTCACCCAATCCACTCAGCTGCTCTTGCTCTTCCTGCTCCGCCGTCACCTCCACCACGCTGCCATCGCTTCGATCTACTCCCCTGCGCACCCATCGACGCATTTGCTCTCCGCTCTCCGGCGGTGTAGATGCCTCTACACCGCCCCTGATACCTCTGCCCTTTTCTTGAGCACCCACATCGGCCTCAACACGGATCTCAGTGTCGTGGCGGCTTCATTGGTTGGAGTTGACTACCATCATTACTCAACGTGCTGCAGAGCGTGGTGGCAGCCCTGGTGCTGGGGAACCTGCACATGGGCTATCAATGAGTACCTAGAGGGCATCGTCTCCGGCGAGTGGCTCGATAACTTCTCCCTCAGCTACATCGAGTACGTCTACTTCTACTTCAAGTCGCAATATCGCATGCAGATCGTCACCATCGACAATGTTGGTTACCGTCACCCACTTTCTTGCTGCTCTGCTTCTTGAAGAGTTGTTTGGATTTGATGGTTTTGTAGTGGCTAAGCAAATGAGCTGGTGGCCAGGGTGGACATCAACGCATTGTTCGCTGCGCAGCTAGCAATCTGACCTACTCGATGATGAGAGAGATGCGTCAGAGTAAGGCTAAAAGTGGGGTGGGCCTGCCACTAACCCGCTGGGCTAGCCCACCCCACTTACCCACTAACTCACTTATGTGCAACCCAATAGAAGATATGTGAGTTAATGCGACTGCCCACAGTGGCCCAGTGGCGCCACAACCCACTTATCGCGCATGCAGGGGAGGAGGGGATCGAATCACGCTAGACAAGATCTAGAGTGCTGCCGGCTCAACCCTAGCAGCCGCCTCCTCAACGGCAGTCCTCAGCCACTACTGCCGTTGTTGACACGCCGTCCATTGATGCCTCTCATGGCCGTGCTCATCTTCCTCTCGGCCGACCTCCTCCGCAACCAGCCATGGTGACGCCATCACCGGTCGTGGCGCCCACTCTGGTGCCTGTCGTGACGCTCACTCCGCTGCCCATCTCACTTCCTCCATCACCCCTGCTTGCTATGGCTCCTACCAGATTGGCTTCTCCATCCCCATTGGTTTCTACGCAGGTGAGTTCTTGAATCTTTATTTTGGCGATGCAATGATTTTTGCTTATGGCTGTAGAATCAACCCCCTATTGTTATTACTAAATATATGAATTTCCTTTGTTAAATAACTCATGCCAATTTAGTACTTGATCATGGTAAAAAAACATACATAATGCTTGGTAAAAAAACATACATGATGCTTACTGGATATGTAGTGGCCAAATTCTTGCGAAAAAAAAATCTATAGATGGAATTTTCTCATCAAACATGTGGGGGATGGATGAAGGACATGATTTGGTTCCATCTCGTGCCTACCTTTTTATCATGATAACGTCTGAAGTAAGATAATATACTAATAATCATGTCTGCTGTACCTATATGATTACAATGTGCTATGCTGAAATTTAACCGTAACTGTTTTGGCTATATAGCTTATACCCTGTCCATTTCTCAACATAGCATGCTGATGAATCAATAATTTAGCAGAAACTTATTACCAAAACAGATGTTACTGTTCCAATTGCTTTTTTCTTTTATAAGGTGAAGTGTTCCCTATATGCTGGTTTGAATTTTTGTTATTAGCAGAGTTTATGCTTACAATTTATTTCATGGCAGACAAAAATTCCTTTTACTGTTGTAGATGTTGCCCATTGTGCCTCAAAAGAGATACTCTCCTCAAGTACCTTAAGGGATATAAACGTAAAGCCTCGATAGAAAAGCAACAGACTCCGGCAACAAAGCGGCTCAAATCACCTATTGTATAAATCGTTAGATCTCCGGAGATTAGGATTGTGATGTCACCGTCTCCATCTTTTGAGGAAGCAATTGAAGAGGAAGCAATTAAACTTGACAATGTAAGTATTTTGATCCGAAAGACATGATCTTTTTCTTTACTTATTTTTTTTCATGTAATTCTACTGCTATTTATTCATGCAATTGATGCATATAATTTAATTGACCGCTTTGTTCGATCATGTGTTTTAATGTATGCTTAATTCAAATAATTAGGTTTATCATCTATAACTAAAAACACAAATTAACATCAACTATATGAAATGATTTTGATCCAATATATGATGGTGATGCGCTGGCGGAAGCTCGGTGTTCTCATTGTGGTAAAATGTTTAAAGCTACACGTGGGGTGGGGTTGTTACTAATAGTTGCTTTAGGCATTTGGCAAATTGTGAGGGTGAATATAGGCTTCACCAGATTTATTCTAAGCTGAAATCATGCTATGGGCTAGATGCTGCTGCTGTAATAAAGTGGAAATTTGATCAACAATGGTCTCAGAAATTACTTGTGGAATTAATTGTCTGCTATGAGTTGTCCTTCAGCTACCCAAGTTTAGAAGTTTTGCGTCAAGCCTAAATCCGTGAACCACAATAAAAGCTTATTGTGTTAAGAAATATAAGAAACGAAAGGTAGCCTTACTAAAGGTTTTGAATGGCTTAAATTCAAGAGTTTCTCCCACGGCTGATATATGGACATCAAATCAAAAGCTGGGTTATTTGTGCATTACTTGTAATTTCATAGATGAAAAGTGAAACTTGAATAAAAGGATAATTAAGTTCAGTTTGGTTGAGGCGCCCCACGACAGCAAAACTATGTTGAGTCAATACTTAAGGGTATTAAAGATTGACATATTGAACAGAAGTTGTTTTCTATTTCATTGGATAATGTTTCGGTAAACGATAGTTTTGTGAGTAGTTTGCAACAAAATTTTGTTGAGAATAATATGCTACCATGTAAAGGTGATCTCTTTCATTTTCGCTATGGTGCACATATAATCAATCTTATAGTTCAAGATGGGCTTGATGCATTAAGTGGTGGAATTGATAAAATAAGCAATTATTATATTTTAGTGGACTATAGTGAACAATGATCCCATACGTTGATTAGAAACTAACTAAGAGTAACTCTCACGGAATAAATCTTAATTACTTAGAATGATATTCGATTAAAGCAGAGTAATTAACAGAGTAAAAGAAATAAGAAGAGGATTGCTGACAACTCCGAAATTCCTCCGACTTCCTCTACTCTACTCTCTCCCTAATCTAATATACAACAAAGTACAATAGCCTCTTGTAATTCAACTCATGCTTTGGTGTGTGTGAGAATGAGGGAGAGAGGGGTATTTATAGGTGGAGAGATGCCTTGGGAATGTGGAGATGCTAAGCATCTAAATGGAATCTTCACTCTCCTCTTGACAAGTGTCCTCTTTATGACGGTTTACATCGATAGAAACAGGCACAACCATCATTGGGAGGTCGGTAGTAACTGCCTTGCCAAAGTTAGGCTGGATTGGGCCAGCTAGGGGTTCGGCTGAACCCTAGGCGGCTTCCCTAGCCCACATCCTTCTTCAAGATGCTGACATGTGGGCCCCACTTTATGGTACACCATATTTTCGTTCAAAATGATTGCACATTTTATATGTTATAGCTCAAAACCATGTGGGTTCATCAGTGCAAAATATATTTGCATTCTTCATGCTCATTCTCTCCCAACTTTGGTGGTTGATTACCTGCATACGAATATACACCAACACTCATGGAAATGGTTAGAAATAAATCCTTCCACTATGTTGGATGTTTTACTTTTATGGTTTTATACAGGTATTGACGGCGTTAATTTGGTATTTAACAGCCGTCAACACCTTGGGAGTTGTTCTGTTTTCAGCTTGCAGAATTTCGAGACCTTCTTCACCTTGGGAGCTGTCATTAGTGTCCATGTTCTCATGATATTTGATGCTAGAATTTATAGTGTTAGCCTTGACTGAGATTGTCATATGTATTTTGAACAATTTCTTAGTAGGATGGGAGCATGTCATATGTATTTTGAGTTGGATGTGAATTAGTCATTTCTAATTTGCATGTCATAATGCCATTTGATAGCACTTCAGTTATCCTTATTCTGTTAAAGTGTAAATTTCAAGGAACTTTAATCTTCTTTGCTATTTCAACTTTGTTGAGAATTTTCATTCACTACCATGTTGCGCTAGAATGGAAAAGTATATATGTTATGTGTGTGCAGTGCAATAGTGTGTTGTACGTATTTTATGTCTAGTGGGTTGGTTGGCGGGTCAGCAAAACCCACCAAACAAATCCATTGGGTAGAGCAACAGGATGTAGGTGACCCGCCAGATTTCTTGTGGGCGATGCGGACGTGGGGCGGGCTACCGCAACCCGCCCCATTTGCAGACTTACGTCAGGGTTCTCTCTAGGAATGACATGGTTAAGGCATCAAATGGGGTCAGTGTTCTTCCTCCTTGCAATTTTTATGGCTCTAAATAAGGAATTGAATCGTGATTGTGTATCGTACTAGTATTTACAAACCTTGTATTACGAGCTCCGGCCACCCCCTCTTCCCCACCTCCCTCCTCCGCTTTGCTGCCGCCAGCAAAGCAATGCAGCCGCAAGGAC